CTTTCACCATGGCTCATAATCATCCTGGTTCAAAGCGTAGACATATAGAATTAGGCTCATTTGATGAGACAGTTGCAAATATTGATTCTTGGGCTCGTTTTTACATGTGATCGAGGCTAAAGATCATAAACCCATCAAACTGAACCCCTTTGCCATTTCTAAAGCCATTCAAGGATATTGTGGAGAGGTTAAAAACGTGACCCGACTTCGTTCTGGCTCCCTTCTTGTTGAATGTGTAAGGAAACAACAATCAATCAATCTGTTATCAATCAGTCAATTTGCACTCGTTGTGAGTGCTGGGTAGCGCTAATAGCTCTTCCCTTGTGTGGAACCGGGGTAGAATATTTCCACAGCACCCCATTGCTGGTCGTAAAAGGCGACCGAATTGGGCAGCCTGTTTGCCGTGGGTTGCGTCCCTGTGTCGGCGGAGGACGGGAGTCTGGTAGTTGAGGGCACTGGATCCAGGAATAGCGTTCCTTTGCCCAATACACCACTTCGACCCTTACTTCGCCTAGACGGGTGGTAAGATGGGCCCGGTCTTATCAATCGGCTGGTCATGCCAAGCCCTGAGCACCTTACTTGTTTGCTCAATCTTCGAAATATTCGGCTTGGAAATGCATATCTGTAATTGAATTACTGTTTGAATTTGTTGAATTTATGACAGAAATGTTTGAATATACATGAATATTGATTTTAAACTACTTGATAAATTCCAAATTTGTCTAGATGCCAGTGCCAGAAGGGGGTGGCTCATGGGCCAATCCGGTGGATTTATTGATCTTCGATCGGTTCTTCTGCTTGAGTGAGTGAGTTATAATTTTACATCGCATCGGCAATATTGCAGCCATATCGCGATGAGAACAAATTGATTATATTAAAATTTCTGTCGTCAAAGGACAGTAAAACAGTAAGGTAATTATCACAGTGGAGACATAAAACTTACCTGAGCAATAGTAAAACAAAGACGTTTTCAATACAGTTATTAGAAAGTAAAACCTGGCTAGAGTGCACTGGCGACTAAAGCTAGACCACCTAACTGGGGATCATGGGGACTTACAGTGCTTTTGCTTCCTGCATGATTCCCAGCAGGATTTATGCCATCACTTTGGTCACGAGTGGTTGTATGAAATATTAACCAATATTAAAAAACAAAACACAATAAAGGAATTAAAACACCAGTTGATATTAATTACTTCAATATATATGGACTCACGTGCCACTGTCAGGGGACAATAATTTTACACTGCTTTAACCCCCACAGTGGCACTGCCTACATACATCTCAGTTGACAAAAAGATCCAACTATTCTAAAACAATTCAAAATTTATCAAATATTAGTATTTCTTTTAAAAAACCGAGAATTAAATGAGCACTGATATTATAAAAAAGATCCGTTAAAGATGTTGAATGATAATATTTATCCCTTGTGAGAGAAAAATCAACACAGTCAAGCAAAACATGCTTGACTGTGATTCTCTCATCACAAGGGACACAGAACGGGGGATCCTCACCTTTTAAAAGATACTCGTGGGTATATCGACTGTGTCCAATACGACATCGTTGCAAAACAACTTCATCATGTCTTGAAGGGCAACCCAAGTAGGTATACCCTATTGATGGTTTTATAACATTAAGTTTGTTGATACCCACTTGGGTGTTCCACTTCTTTTGCATCAGATCATTGATGTAGCATCTAATTACTGGCTTGTAATCACTGTATGGTAAAAGTAGTGGCGTTACTGATTTGGAGAGGGCTGCCTTTGCAGCAGTATCAGCCATAGTGTTACCAGCGATGCCAACATGACTGGGCAACCAGCAAAAGACGATGTCGTATTGGGCAGTGGCGAGAACATTATTCAATTCTAAAATGTCAAGTATTAACGGATGATTTGAAGAACAATTATGTATTGCCTGAAGGCATGACAAGGAATCAGAAAAGATGATGAACTGTTGAGATGATTGGTTTTGAATGAAGTCCAAAGCTATAAGAATAGCATTGGCCTCAGCTGTAAAAATAGAGCTATTATCTGGGATTCTAGAAGACACCCTTTTAGATCCAATGACAGTAGCACTTGAAACCTTGCCACCATCCCTGGAGCCATCAGTAAAAATAGAGCGATGGGTATCATATTTTGACCGCAACTGGGCATATTCTTGTTGATAAATCAACTGGTTTGTATCAGCTTTTTTAAGGGTAGTTAGTGTCAGGTCTACCTCTGGTTTGACTAGTTGCCAAGGAGGTGTAGACAGTAACCGGTATGGTGAGATAGTAGAAAGATCAATAGTAGCTGCGGTAATATGTGGCTTAATTCTGAACCCTAGAGGGGGAACAAGCTTTGGTTTTGATTGAAATAGATTTTCATACATGGGATTAAACACACAGTCGTATGCTGGATTCGACGGATTTGAGTATAATTTAGTCACATATTGCAATGAAAGTTTAATTCGACGGTGTTTAAGAGATGGCTCGTCTGCCTCTACATATAAACTGTCAACTGGTGAAGTTCTAAAGGCACCAAGACATAGCCTCAGGCCTTGATGATGTACTGAATCCAATAATTTTAAGTTGCTTTTACAGGCACCACCATAAATGATGGAGCCATAATCGAGTTTGGAACGGATGAGAGAACGATATAAATGAAGGAGAGTTGTCCGATCCCCTCCCCATTTTGAATGAGAAACAACTTTCAACAAGTCAATTGCCTTCAGACATTTAGTCTTCAGATATCTTATATGTGGTAAAAATGTTAGATGATTATCAAATATAATACCCAAGAACTTGGCTTCCTTGACAACTTTAATAGGAAAACCAGCCAAAAACAGTTCAGGGTCCGTATGCGGTTTATATTTGCGGCAAAAATGGATACAGTTTGTTTTGACTTTAGAGAACTTGAACCCATTCTCTAGACACCATTTATGTATTTTATTAAGGCATAATTGTAGCTGTCTTTCAATAGTGTGCATATTTTTACCACGACAAGATATATTAAAATCATCTACGAAAAGTGACCCATCCACTGCATCACTTAAAACCTTTGAAAGACTATTGATTTTAACACTAAATAGAGTAACTGACAATATACTTCCTTGTGGGACACCCTGATCCTGATTATAATGGTCAGACAGGGTTGAACCCACTCGGACTTGAAATTGCCTGCCCGCTAAAAACTGTGATATAAAATGTGGTAAGCGGCCTCTCAGACCAAAGTCGTGTAAATCTTTTAAAATGCCATGTTTCCAGGTAGTGTCGTAAGCTTTCTCAAGATCGAAAAAAATTGACACAGCATGTTGTTTGTTAACAATAGCATTTTTTACAAATGATTCCAATCGTACTAAATGATCTATAGTACTTCGATTATTGCGAAAACCACATTGGATATTTGTTAGTAGGTTATTGGTTTCTAAGAACCAAACCAATCTATTATTTACCATTCGCTCCATGGTTTTACAGACACAACTGGTTAAAGATATAGGACGGTAATTGGATGGATCTGTATGATCCCGACCCGGCTTTGGGATAGGGACTACAATGGCATTATGCCAAGAAGGAGGAAAATTCCCCGACGTCCATATTTGGTCAAATATATCTAATAGTGTTTCTAGACATGAATCAGGCAAATGTTTCAGGAGCTGATAGTGAATATTATCAGCACCAGCCGCTGTATCATGAGCTTGCCCTAGGGCTGTATGTAGCTCATGGAAGGAAAACACTTCATTATAGTCTTCCCCGTTATCAGAGTTAAAATTAACATGTTTCTTTTCCTGTTGTTTCTGATATTTTATGAATTCAGGGGCATAATTAGACGATGACGAATGTTTTGCCAATGTTTCACCAAGTTTATTGGCAATGTCTGATTTATCAGTTAATAACTGATCACCTTCCTTAAGATGGTGAACAGAAGATTTTGATCCTTTGCCTTTAATTTTTTGTATCATGTTCCATACTTTGGATATAGGAGTACGGGAATTTATTTTGGAGACGTAGGTCCTCCAAGATTGACGCTTATTTTGTTTATAAGCCCGCCTGGCTTTTGCATTTGTAATTTTTACTTGATCTAAATTATGAACTGTGGGATGTCGGCGGAAGTACTTTTCCGCTTTCTTCCTACACTTCCGTGCCTGTTTACATTCGTTGGTAAACCATGGTTTGCGAATATGAGGAATTGCAGAGGACTTAGGAATTGTTTGATCAGCTATTTCATTGAGCTGATCTGAAAACAATTGAATCGGATCTTCAACGTTTTGAAAATGATGAGGGGTTATTTTTGCAGTGCACAATATTTCATATAATGACCAATCGGCCTTCTTAAAATTCCACCTGGATGTCGAGTTTTCAGGATTCGGCTTCACAGCTTTAAGAATAGTGGGAAAGTGATCACTTCCGCAGAGGTCATCATGGACCGACCAGTCAAATTCATTAAATAGATTTGAATCTGTGAGAGACAGATCAAGAGATGAGTACGATCCAGTGGCAGGATGTAAATAAGTGTTTGAATCATCATTACAGATACATAAATTATTATCTGAAATGAATTCCTCAAGGATTTTCCCTTTATTGTTTGTGGTAACACTTCCCCATAAAGGGTTGTGCCCATTCAAATCACCCACGATGATGCATGGCTTGGGTAGCTGATCATATAGATTTTGAAGATCTGTTTGTCGAAGCATAGTGGATGGAGGAATATACAAGGAACACAGAGTAAAGACAACGTTCAAAGTTAAACGAACAGCAACAGCTTGAAGATTTGAATTGATAGAAACAGGGCTGTGAATCACGCCCTGTCTCACCAAAATAGATGACCCTCCAGTTGTTTTGTCGCCTGGGGGAGAATATGAATGATGACAGTTATACTGCCTAATATCAAATTTGTCAGTACTTTTAAGGTATGTCTCCTGTAGACATAAAGCAGACGGTTTAAAATCCTGTATCAATAATTGAATGTCATTAAAATTATTTCTAAGTCCTCTGCAATTCCATTGGATTAGGTTATTGGATGGAGTCACGGTGGTTCAATAGGTGACCTCTCACGTGGTCGTGAGGAAGAAGGATTTCTACCTCTGTCTTCGGAAGACAGGGTCACCTCCATATCCAGAGGTCCAAACGAGTTAGTAAGAGGTACCTCAGGAGGAGATGCGCTTCTTTGAGTTTGTTTTTTGTTTTGTCTTTTCCTTTCCTTTTTTTGAATATTTGCATGTTCAGTACTTTGTGCAGGCTGACGTGTAGACTGACTGGCAGGCTGCTGTGCAGGCTCGCTTGGAGGCTGAATATCTGTGTCAGATGATGATGTAGATGTTCCTTTATTCTGACTCATGGATGCCATTTTAAGGGGCTGATCAGAGTGGACCCAAGTAAGATCTGTCTGACATGTGATAGAATTAGTTGGAGTGGAACGGGATACTGCAGCAGAATAAGATAAGTTTGATGTAGTTGTTGGAAGCGTGGGAACAACCAGCTTTCGTGCATCATGATAAGTGATGTTGTTTGTATGTTTTAGTTTAAGGATTTTAGATTCTAAAATCCAAACAGGGCAAGATTTTGAAGAGGCCATGTGATGACCATCACAATTTTTACACTTAAGGTCCTCGCTGCAGTCTGAGCTGTCATGGCTCCCACTACATCGTTGACAAACTGGGGATCTAGTGCAATATTTCGATCCATGGCCGAACTTTTGGCATTTGAAGCACCGGAGTGGAGAGGGGACATACACCTCCACTCCAATATTCATGTAGCCAGCTTTGATCGATGTAGGAAGAGTAGGTCTCGAAAAGGTAAAAAGATAGGTATTTGTTTGAACAACATCTCCATCTTGCTTCCTGGTAAACCTTTTGACGGCAGTTACACCTTGCTGTCCTAATTCTGAAACAATCTCCTGCTCTGACATGTCAGACAGACAACGGGTCCAGTCACGCACAATGCCACGGCAAGAGTTAAGTGTTCTGTGCTCAGACACAGCAACCTCAATATTGGCAAACAATTTGACAGATAGTAGATTGAGAGATTGCTGTTTCTTTGCACATTCAACCAGGAGGGAACCACTACGTTGACGAGTCACGTTCTTCACCTCTCCACAAATTCCGGAAATGGCTTTCGATACAGCAAACGGATTGAGTTTGATAGGTTGTTTATCAAGGGTCTCTATTACTAGGAATCGAGCCCAGGTATCGATATGTTGAGATACATCATCAGTTTCTGCATCAACATCTAAATGTCTTCGTTTTGGACGGTTGGAACCAGACAATTGAAGGGCCATGGTGAAAGGAAAATATTTCAGCACCCCTGCTCCCCACCCACCATCGAGCACCAACAAGGGCAAACACCAGGGATACAGGGGTGTTATACTCCAGCAAATATGACATGCATAGCTACATTTGTCTACAAAGTTGACTGCCAGACTGGTTCTGCCCATAACAATAAACTAGAGACATATAGAATACAGTGGTCAACATTACCAGATTGGCCCATGAGCCACCGCCTTCTGGCATTAGACTCTAGGCAATTTGTAACATAAATAATTTGTGAGTTCAAATATGTAATATATTGGCCAAGACCAAACAATATATTTATAAAAATCACGAGTGTGCATACACAATTTAATGCACAGGGCTTGGCATGACCAGCCGATTGATAGGACCGGGCCCATCCTACCACCCGTCTAGGCGAAGTAAGGGTCAAAGTAGTGTGTTGGGCAAAGGAACACTGTTCCTGGAACCAGTGCCCTCAACTACCAGACTCCCGTCCTCCGCCGACACAGGGACGCAACCCACGGCAAACGGGTTGCCCACTTTGGTCGCCTCTTACGACCAGCAATGGGGTGCTGTGGAAATATTCTACCCCGGTTCCACACGGGGGAAGAGCGATTAGCGTTACCCAGCACTCACCACGAGGAGGTTGCTCTTCACGAGTGCCTCTTCTGCTTGAGTATACCCTCCTGGTATCCCTGGTGCCGTCTGTTGGAGATCCACAGATGTGTGGCATCGTCCTCGTAGACACTCCATGGTGGGAGGGGAGCTAGGAGGGTGAATCTTATTAACTACTACCATTGCACCCCCACTCAAAAAACGCTCACACGAATCAGATGATTCGCTCTCTTCTGGGGATGAAGATTCTCCTCAACCTCTAGTCAATCCTGAAGCTTGGTCTCGTTTTCTAATGATGACTGCTCCAAATGGTGATCCACTAAAACTTAACCCATTTGCTATATATAAGGGTATTGAAGGTTCAGTTGGTCTAGTTAAGGAAATAAAAAAAAATACGATCTGGCTCTTTACTGATCCAATGCAATAAACAAATCCAGTCACAAATTCTTCTCTCAACGAAATCACTAGCTACTGTTCCTGTGGAGGTATCCCCTCACAGGACACTGAATAGTAGTAAAGGCATCGTTCGTGATATTGGACGATGCCTTTCTGATATGACGGAAATGGAAATCGTGACCGAGTTACACTCCCAAGGAGTTACTGCTGTCAAACGTTTTACGGAAAAGAGAAATAATGAAGTGATAAAAACAAACACTTATCTGTTTACATTCTGTCTCCAACTGCGTCCAGAATCACTCAAAGCTGGTTACTGCAGTTTAAAGGTGGATACTTTTATCCCCAATCCTTTGAGGTGTTACTCATGTAAAAAGTATGGACATGGCTCAAAGTCATGTCATGATGCAGCTGCATGTCATCGGTGTGCTGGATCATGTGAAGACAGTGCCCTCTGTAACAAACCACCTCAATGTGTCAACTGTGCTGGCAACCATCCATCTTCTTCCAAGGAATGTCCTACTTGGAAACTTCAATCTAAAATTTCAAGGGTAAAACATGAGCAGAACATCTCTTTTTTCGAAGCAAAGAAAGTTGTTCTTGCTCAGCAACAACCAGGACCATCTTTTGCTTCTGCTGTCTCTGCAAGTCCCTAAGACCAAACCTGTTACCTATCATTCCACAGGTTGTCAGACAGATTACACCTGGACAAAAACCTCTGGCCCTCCTTTACTATCTGCAGCAGCCCAGGTGAGACACCCACAAGAGAACTCCAGCTCTCAAACATTACAGGTACTGACCAAAACCATGGCATCTTGTAATGAAGATGTAGCTTCATCTCAGGATCAGTCATCAACAAAAGTATCTGACAAATCAAAATCAGAAATACCCGTCAAACAACTTGCATAGAACAAATCTAGACCTAGAACAGAATCTTGAAAAAAATATCAGAGTGGAAGAGCCTAAAAATGGGAAAAAAACAAGATACAACTTTTTAATAAGTTCGGATCTCTTAAGGACATGGATGTGTCCGACATGAGCCAACACAGGGCACATAGCTTGTCACCCTCAAGGAAGGTGAGGGGTATGTCCCCAGTCAATCCGCCCAAAAGATAGTTTCTTCAACAAATATTATACAGTGGAATTGTAGAGGAATAAAGACTAATTTTAATGAATTACATCTATTGGTCCAAGATCTTCATCCATCAGCATTCTGCTTACAAGAGACATATTTAAAGCAGACAGACAATTTTAACTTACGTCAGTTTAGTGCATATCATTCGTTTTCTCCTCCAGGTGATAGAGCCACTGGAGGAGCTTCAATCATTGTGCGACAGAATATTATCCACAGTCCTGTTGTACTTCATACTAATCTGCAAGCTGTTGCAGTGCGACTTACTTTACACGTTGCATTTACATTGTGTTCTTTGTATATTCCGCCATCGTCAGCTCTCCTGCAGACTGATCTTCAAAATCTCTACGATCAACTCCCTAAGCCATGTATTATCATGGGTGATTTGAATGGCCACAATCCACTCTGGGGTGGTACAACTACAAATACTAAAGGTAAAGTACTTGAAGATTTTATATCTAATAATGATCTGTGTATCTTTAATGATGACACCCACACTTATCTGCATCAAGCAACTGGCACTTATTCTTCTTTGGATTTGGTCAGTCTGTTAATCCGACTGATGTTCCTCCTTCTACAAGATGGAATTTTACAAAGGCAAACTGGTCTTTGTTTCACACATTATGCACTGAAAGACTACGACCCGAATTATTTCTAAATGATAATGATCCTATTCAGGTTTTTGCTGATGAATTGAATATAATTGCTGAGGAATGTATCCCAAAGTCCTCTACGGTTCCACATATTCGTAAACCATGGTTTACCATGGACTGCAAACAACCTAGAAAGGCTAGAAAAAAGGCAGAAAAATATTTTCGTCGCCATCCAACAGTCCATAACTTGAATCAATTTAAAATTTCAAATGCCAAGGCTCGTCGCACATTTAAGCCAAATAAACGACAGTCATGGCAAACATATGTTTCTAAAATTAATTCACGAACGCCTATTTCAAAGGTTTGGAATATGGTTCAGAAAATTAAAGGAAAAGGATCCATATCCACTGTTCGCCATCTCAAGGAGGGTGACACTCTTATAACAGATAAATCTGATATTGCTAATAAGTTAGGTGAAACATTAGCTCAACATTCCTCATCATCTAATTATATACCTATTCTTCATAAATATAAGGAACAACAAGAAAAAAAGAAACTTAATTTTCACTCAGATAACGGTGAGGATTATAATGAATTGTTTTCCATTCATGAGCTCCATACTGCCCTTGGGCAAGCTCACGATACTGCTTCGGGGCCTGATAATATTCATTATCAGCTCCTGAAACATTTACCTGAATCGTGTTTAGAAACAATGCTAAATATCTTTGACAATATTTGTGGAAATTTTCCGTCATCATGGCGAAATGCTACTGTCATTCCTATACCTAAGCCTGGTCGTGATCATACCGATCCCTCGAATTATAGACCACTATCCCTCATTAGCTGTGTTTGTAAGACTATGGAACGTATGATAAATAATCGTTTAGTTTGGTACTTGGAAACCAACATTCTCATTACTAACATTCAATGTGGTTTCCGCAAAAATCGTAGTACCGTCGATCATTTAGTACGTTTAGAATCTTTTATTAAAAATTCCATAAAAAATAAACAACATGCTGTATCAATATTTTTCGATCTCGAAAAAGCATATGATACCACATGGAAGTATGGTATTTTAAAAGATTTACATGATTTTGGTTTAAGGGGCCGTTTGCCTCTATTTATATCTCAGTTTTTAAAAAATAGACAATTTCAAGTTCGTGTGGGTTCAACCCTGTCTGACCATTACAATCAGGATCAGGGTGTCCCACAAGGCAGTATCTTGTCTGTAACATTGTTCAGCATAAAGATAAACAGTTTGTCGAAGGTTTTAAACGATTCACTTGATGGTTCATTATTTGTGGATGATTTTAATGTTTCTTGTCGTGGTAAAAACATGCATACCAGTGAAAGACAACTACAATTGTGTTTAAACAAAATCAATAAATGGTGTCTGGAAAATGGCTTTAAATTTTCACGAGCCAAGACCAAATGTATTCATTTTTGTAGAAAGTATAAGCCGCATCAGGACCCTGAATTAGTTTTGGATGGTGCTCCTATCAATGTAAGCAAAGAGGCCAAGTTTCTTGGTATTATTTTTGACCATCACTTGACCTTTCTGCCACACTTAAATTATTTAAAAACTAAATGCCTGAAGGCTCTTGATATAATTAAAGTAATTTCAAACGCAAAATGGGGAGGGGATCAGAAAACCCTCCTCCAACTGTACAGAGCCCTCATCCGCTCTAAACTTGATTACGGCTCCATCGTCTATGGTGCAGCCTGTAAAAGCAATTTGAAAAAAACTGGATTCTATTCATCATCAGGGCCTGAGGCTTTGCCTTGGATCCTTTAGGACTTCTCCAATTCATAGTTTGTACGTGGAGGCTGATGAGCCTTCCCTTAAACAACGTCGCGTTAAATTATCTTTACAATATGTTTCTAAACTACGTTCTTTGAAATCCAATCCAGCCTATGACTGTGTTTTTAACCCTCTTTATGAAGACCTCTATACTAAAAAATCATCACTCACTCCACCCCTTGGACTACGAATACAATCGTCCATTTCGGCTGCTAAACTAAATCTCGAAAATATAGCCCCAGCCAACTTTTAACTTCCCCTCCATGGCAGTTAGTGAAACCAGAGGTGGATCTAACCTTCACTAAATTTAAAAAATCTGAAACCAATCAACTAATTTTTCAACAAGAGTATAATCAGTTAAGAAACAAATATGATACTTATAAATCTATATTTACCGACGGATCAAAGGATGGTGACGCAGTTGCCAGCGCCGACATCATCGGATCCAGGACAATATCATCTAGAATACCAGAT